GAAAATAGTAGTGCAAGGGGAATTGTTTGGTTGGGAAATTGTTAGTTCTCATTGTGCTAGTAAGCGGTGATCGTTTGGTCCAAGTTTCATTATAATTTTGTGAAGTTGAGATTTCTGTATCGAAGTGTCATAGTGACGGTATTTCGTAGGAGTTGGTAGAATTTTTGGAAGGTTGCCGTTCCTTTTTGAAATGCATTAGTAAGTCGGATTTTAATTCCTTTTTCCATCGGGCCGGCGCGAAGAAAGGACGCTCATCACCTCCAGTCGTATGGAAAACTGCACGCTCATAATTTGAAGGTGAGCGGGGGACGGTTGCCATCGTTCTTTTTGGATTGAAAAGACACGTCGTCGTGTACTATTGTCTTTGCGCGCTTCGAAAATTCTGGAACACCTGTGTGTGGAAATTGTGGTGAAGGAGCCGAGAAACCGCGCTGGACCGAATGCCGTACTGCCCTGCCTGACCCGTTGCGCGCTGAGGCGCAAAGTGTGCTACAAAACCTCCACTGGAGGTTCTTTTAATACCTAAGCAACTAAGCTGTCCATGGACTTCTACACGCTAGCGTAGAAGCCTTTCCAGTCACACCCCGAGTTTTGTGAGCTACCCTCGACTTTTATTATTTCGCTTCGCGTTTTACTTTCGGATACTTTATAAATGTAGCTGTTATTACATTTTATTGTGACGTACCGATCGCACTAAGTATATGTAGGCTTTTATTTAGAACCCATGCCCTTTGAGATTGTTGCTACAGACAGTTGATACTAATATTTTATTATTAAGATAACTATTTTATTTTGGCCTATGATACAGGCCTGGCGCCCATAATTGAATATAATTTATAACCTATTTCTTAACTAAATGGATCTTATTGCATGACTGTGTAGGTGAACTATCTCAGTGAAATAAAACATCCAGTAATCTTTTGGAAGTCTCATCTTTTATTTCTTACCCACAAGTAGGTACTTCTCACTCCGGAAAATTAATTAAGTTACAAAATAAATAAAAACATGCTATTATGGTAGCTTAGGATGTCCAGAGTCTACATTTTTTCTTTGGATCACCTTGACACTCTGTATGACCATAGTATATCTACAACCCAATACTTGTTTAGTCTGCAAGTACAGTGCAGAGTTCAGAAGGAGGTTGACTAGGTTGTTAGGACAGAAGAAACTGAGGAACATGTCTGTCTCGCTCGCACTCACCACGCTACTCAACGACCACGTCAATATCAATAAACGTGGTGAGTTATATACACGGTTATCGTGGTATAAAGGAAAAATCTAGACTCTGGATATCCTAAGCTACCATAAAAGCAAAAAAAGATGTTCAAAAAAAGGACCTCCCATACTAGTTTTGCTGCCTGATATACCATTTTGTATGGAAGGTCCAATATTTTTCTTCAAATATTTTAACATTGTTTTTTGCTATTATGGTAGCTTAGGATGTCCAGAGTCTACATTTTTTCTTTGAACCACTATAACTTTGACACTCTGTATGACCATAGTATATCTACAACCCAATACTTGTTTAGTCTGCAAGTACAGTGCAGACTTGAGAAGGAGGTTGACTAGGTTGTTGGGACAGAAGAAACTGAGGAACATGTCTGTCTCCCTCGCACTCACCACGCTACTCAACGACCACGTCAATATCAATAAACCTGGTGAGTATCATGGTATAAAGAAAAAATCTAGACTCTGGACATCCTGAGCTACCATAAAAGCAAAAAAAGATGTTCAATATTTAAAGAAAAAAAAGGACCTCCCGTACTAGTTTTGCTGCTTGATTTACCATTTTGTATAGAAGGTCCAATATTTTTCTTCAAATATTTATAAAAAAAACATGCTATTATGGTAGCTTAGGATGTCCAGAGTCTACATTTTTTCTTTGGACCACTATAACCTTGACACTCTGTATGACCATAGTATATCTACAACCCAATACTTGTTTAGTCTGCAAGTACAGTGCAGACTTCAGATGGAGGTTGACTAGGTTGTTGGGACAGAAGAAACTAAGGAATATGTCTGTCTCCCTCGCACTCACCACGCTACTCAACGACCACGTCAATATCAATAAACCTAGTGAGTTATAACTACGTATAGTATATGTTGCAGGGATATTAAAAAAGCCGTGATATTATAATTTCACTAGTGCCATTATAATTGCACTGATTTATTGTCAATCGTTTGCATTACTTACAATTTAACGGGCTAGTTTCAGTGACATTATAATTTCACTGGACCGATACAGTGAAATTGTAAGGCAGTGATATATTGACAATAACACTGGTTTGAGAAAGCCGTTAGATTATCAGACCGATCGCTGATTGGTCCGCTTTCGTTACCAACATTAGCTACAAAATATTAAGCATAGAGTTAGGAAATAAAAGACAAGTTCTTGAAAATTATTTCTTTTTATATTATTATTTGTTACTTTTTTATAGTTAAAGTAAAAAAAACATAATAATAAAGAATTAAAAGTACTAATAATCGAAATAAATTATGTTACTTAAACTCAAGGTTACATAATTATGTAACTAAAATGACATAACAAAAACATAAGAACAAATTAAACATTAACAACGCAACGAAAGTAAATGTCTGGAGACTAGTAAGTAGGTATATGAGCACTTTTTCATACTTTATACTAAGCATAGTAACGGATCCAAATCCATTCACTGGAATAGTATATTTTTTACTTTACCTTTTAGAATTTTAAAGTAAATACCTCAAAAACACCAAAAATATTGCTCCAATGTTTACAACAAATATTTTTCAAATGACGACTGTTTAAGCCTTGACCAATCAGATCACGCGGGGCTCCCACCACAAACATAACTCATAATAAACCTAGATTTATTATAATATCACTTTTGCGGTCCAGTGAAATTACAATATCACTGAAATAAGCCCGTGAAATTATACGAATCTGTCGTTATTGACAATAATCAGTGTAATTACAATTTCACTAGTGAAATTATAATATAACGTCTTTGACTAAATCCCTGCGACATATACAAAATTTTAAAAAAAATCAATTGCAAATATTTTAAGGGGTGAATCAGCCCATGAAACTAACCAACTTTCCCCAAGGAATATAGGCCAAAACTTGAAAAAAAATTGACCTCTTAAAAATCTTTTTTTAATATTTAGACCTGTGTTCCTTGGAGAAAGTTGTTCAGTTTCATACCCCTTAATTTTTTTGAAGTAGATTTTTACGCCTTATACAACCCAATACTTGGTAAGCGGCGTACAGTGCAGACTTCAGAAGGAGGTTGACTAGGTTGTTGGGACAGGAGAAACTGAGGAACATGTCTGTCTCGCTCGCACTCACCACGCTACTCAACGACCACGTCAATATCAATAAACCTGGTAAGTTATAACCATAGTATATTATGGCGATGTGGCGCAGTGGTTAGTATGCCTGCCTGCCACGCAAAGGTTCCGGGTTCAATTCCCGGTGGGGTCACTCACAAAGATGATATTTACTACTTTGTGAATTTGTTCCCAATCTGGTTAGGACATTGCAGGCTGATTGCCACCTGATTGTCTGAAAGCAAGATGGTTCCGTGCTTGGGATGGGCACGTTAAGCCGTTGGTCCCGATTGCTTTCTATGATGGTGGTCGTTACACAACCATGTCAGAGGCCTGCTACTTGCAGCAGGTGGTTGAAAAACTCTGACACCAGGATTCATCGGGTCGTTGTACGAATCGGTGTCCCACACGAAGAGAGAGAGAGAGACCATAGTCTAACTAGAACCCAATACTTGTATAGTCTGCAAATACAGTGCAGACTTCAGAAGGAGGTTGACTAGGTTATTGGGACAGAACAAACTGAGGAATATGTCTGTCTCGCTCGCACTCACCACGCTACTCAACGAACACGTCAATATCAATAAACCTAGTGAGTTATATAACTATTTATAGTATATCTACAACCCAAAACTTGTTTAGTCTGCAAGTACAGTGCAAACTTCAGAAGGAGGTTGACTAGGTTGTTGGGACAGAAGAAACTGAGGAACATGTCTGTCTCGCTCGCACTCACCACGCTACTCAACGACCACGTCAATATCAATAAACCTAGTGAGTTATATAACTATTTATAGTATATCTACAACCCAAAACTTGTTTAGTCTGCAAGTACAGTGCAGACTTCAGAAGAAGGTTGACTAGGTTGTTAGGACAGAAGAAACTGAGGAACATGTCTGTCTCGCTCGCACTCACCACGCTACTCAACGACCACGTCAATATCAATAAACCTGGTGAGTTACAGTCATAGTATAGCTCTACAACTTTAGAGTAAGTATGTAGGCAAGCTATACAACGTGTTACAAAACAACCAATAAATCTCCCATACAAAGCGAGTTCATTTTGTATGGGAAGTCCATTTTTTTTTCATATTTCGACCCATGTTCCATGGGGAAAGTTGTTCAGTTTCATGAGTACCTTGACCTCCTTTCAGCTTTATTGGTTGTTTTGTAACACCCAGTATAGAGCACCTTTGGCACTGATATAAAACACAACCTCTGTCCATGAGTAGCAAAACGCCAGTGACAGCACTATTGAGCCTCTATTACTTCTCATACATTTGACATAGGTATAACTGCTTACGTTTGACAGTACGGCGCGGGGCGATACGCGCACTGTATAGCTTGCTTCCAAGGTTACAACCAGAGTATATCTACAACCCAATACCCTGACACCAGGGTTCATCGGGTCGTTGAACGACTCGGTGTCCCACACGAAGAGAGCCCCGATAGTTGTTTAATCTGCAAATACAGTGCAGACTTCAGAAGGAGATTGACTAGGTTGTTAGGACAGAAGAAACTGAGGAACATGTCTGTCTCGCTCGCACTCACCACGCTGCTCAACGACCACGTCAATATCAATAAACCTGGTGAGTTACTATAGTATAACTACAATTAAAAACTTAGTTTGGTTTGACAATAGTATCGCCACTCCAATAAGCCGATGTAGACAGCTATCAAGAACAAATGTCAACCAGTGCGTCAATAGCTCAGTGGAAGAGCAGTGGGACGATACCCCACCGACCTCGGGTTTGATTCCCGATCGACGCTTGACATTTTTTGACTTATATTTTATTTATTATTTTCCTTTTTTCCACAGCACTGACGAAGGAAATAATCTCCCAACACCTCCAACCGCACGATTTGGCTCGTCTCGAGGCTTACTGCAGGCAACAGGCGGACTACAGGCTCATAACGGATTTACTCAACCCTATCGCTAACATATTCTTCCATGTCAAGACTTCTGCTAAGTTGGATGCAGTGCAACAAGTAAGTACAAAGCTGACACTTAAACCCAAACGTGCACACACACTACCACACACATGGCGACACGGTCTTTTGGGAAAGTCAGAGTATAGTTAGTAGTGTAGTAAAGGAAAGTTAGTAAAATCAATAGAGAAATATTTCAGGGTCATTTCAGAAAATCATTTGCAGTGTTATTACAAAAAAGTTAGGCGCGCGTTTAGACAGTGTTTAAATTGATTTTCCATACTATTTGACGTTGTCAAGCGTCTTAAACCATGTCTAACTTTTTTATAATAATACGGTAACCGTTTATGTTTAAGTGATAGGGTGTTAGTCCATCGCTTGAAATAATCGCTTGAAATCCTACACATGAGACCCTCAAGTTTCTGAGTGTCTTCTCATAAAAACACATTCCTAACATTTTGTTCCAGGTGATCTTCATAGCGATGGGTTTCCAAATGAAGGACGTGGACGACCTATCATCGGAGCTGGGGTTGCCATCCTCACAGATCCTGGCTAAATTCTACGAGGCGTGCAAGAAGATCAACCAAGCGCTGAACGTGGTACTAGAAGATACAGTCGCTAAGGAAATAGGTAAATAACAATTAGATGGTAATCAAAATGTACAAGAAAAAAATAAGACCAGAAATAATAAAAACTAATTACATTTGAAGAGCAAAGAAAAAAAACCTTATTATTATTATTATTATTATTATTTATTATTACGTAGAATTTGTATACTTTTCATATTTTGGCCTATGTTTTTTGAGAAAAGTTATCCAGTTTCATTAAAACATATATCCGGACATAAAAGTCGCGGGATTTATGATACTTTACTATTATTTTTGTGACTTACATTTTAATTTTTGTTTAAACAGGCATAGAAGACAAGACGTCGGATGGTTTGGAAGCAAATGAAGGGAAGATGAAACAAAGTTTACAGGAAGAACTTACGAAGGCTGCCAAGGTAATTGGTGTACTAGTTTTATGTGTGTTTGTATGGAAGGCGAGGAATAAATGGTTTTGATAGATATTGTCTTGTTTTATTCAATTTTCCCTTATGTAGTCATCGTGGTAGCTAAGAATACTTCCATCCTTAGTCCAGTCATGTAAAAGTCTGTAGAGTTTTGACCTTGGCTGAATATTTTCCTCGTATGGTCAACTGCATCCTGCAATAGCATTTCCAAGGAAGACGTGTCGTGCTGTCGGCTGATCGTGAAACTATGCTACTAAATCATATTGCAAAAAATCTTGTGCCGATTCCAAATAAGTCATAGGCAGAGAGATGATGATGAGAAATAGATCAACGGAACCACTCAAACAAGAAAAAAAATAGAAAATATATTTTTTTCTAAACCAATGGTTCAATTTTAAAAAGATTGCCATGTTACCAGAGAGATACTCAAATTCCGCTATGATACTATACATAGATTTAATGTTTTTACAACCTTCCAGGAGCTAGAACGCAAGCAGCGTAAAGAGCTGTCCAAACTAATGGGTGAGGACCTCGCGCAGTACCGCATCAAGGGAAACGAAACAGACTGGAAGCAGGCACTCGCCGTGTCCAAGCAAAAACACCTCGTGTCGGTTAAAAGGTAAACATCACGCCTGCGTGCCTTGTGGGGTAGACAGTAAAGAGTACGGTATCAAGAGAAACGAGACTGACTGGAAGAAAGCTATCAGTGTCCAAGCAGAAACACCTCGTGTCTGTTAAAAGGTAAACATACGACATTATATTATGGGGAAATAGCACTGATAGTGACCGCGTACTTGTGGCTCAAAATCGAGTTCTGATAGCGAAAGTGCGAGACGATAGACTGCAGTCCTATAGATACATTTTTGAAAACAGTAATATAAAAGGTAAACATCACGCCTACATGCCTTGCGGGGTAGGCAGAGTGAAGAGAGCTTACTAAACATAATAAGTACCTATCACTAAATGGTAAGTTCCAATAACTTAGTTAGGATTAGACCATAGCATGCTGAACTACCGGATTGACCGAAAAGAAAGATGTTCTGTGCTTTGTAGAGTACGTTAAGCCGTCGGTAGCGGTTGCTGTCTATAATTACTTAGATGCTGGTCGTTACCGTCGTTACCACTTGCCTGCTACTTTTAGTAGGCGGTTGTAAAACTCTGACACTATCCTAGTGTTTCCAGTGTTCATCGAGTCGTTGGATGACTCTGTGACCCACGCGTAAAGAGTTAAAGACCTTTAACAGTTGATGAGTATTGCAATTTTAGGAAACAGGCTGACAACCTGTCACTATGGTGTTACACAGTCTTCTGAATGACTCAAACTTTTGTCAGACGTCGTTTAAATGGCCGTTTCTTACAGCCGCTGCTGCTAATGCTCTGCCTATCCCGCAATGGATGTAGACGTGATATATGTATGTATGTACAGGGAGTAACGGAAAGGGTATAACAAGCCGAAAGGAGGTCAAGGTACTCATGAAACTGAACAACTTTCCCCATGGAGCATGGGTCGAAATGTAAAAAAAAAAATTGGCCCTCCCATACAAAATCGCTGATCAGCCAATTGATTTACTATGGAAGGTCCACATTTTTTTTTCACATTTCGTCCCATGTTCCATGGGAAAAGTTGTTCAGTTTCATGAATACCTTGGTCTCCTTTCGGCTTGTTATACCCTTTCCGTTACTCCCTGTATATTCCCCGCCGACCCTCGGTTTACAGTATCACTCACTTGTTAAATCCTGTAACTACATCTTTTCAATCTTTCTTTCTTTTCGTGTGGGACACCGAATCGTTCAACGACCCGATGAACCCTGGTGTCAGAGTTTTTCAACCGCCTACTGCAAGTAGCAGGCCTCTGACATGGTTTTGTAACGACCGCCATCATAGACAGCAACCGGGACCTTTTCAATGCATTTACTTCCATACGTATACCCTTCTGATACTTACAACTTATTTCTGTATTCCAGCGGCGAGAAGCGTCTCGGCGACGACAGCAAGGAGATAGACGAACTCATAGAGACACACTCCAACAAGAAGAAGAAGAAGAAAAACAAGTTCCAGAGGAATCAGTCCTGATCGTGAGAATAAAGCTGTTTAAATCGTAATGAAATCTTTTATTTCAATCCAGTCCTATTCGTTACGACAGTCGAGGTCAGGTCATTTTGATTTCTTATTTTAATTTATCGAATAATTGCAAGATCACAGAAAAAAATCCTTATGTTTTACTAAGTTTACTCTACAGGGTGTTTGGAAGCTGGGTGCTAAGCCTTCAAGGGGTCAAGGTACTCATGAAACTGAACAACTTTCCCCATGGAACGTCGAAATATGAAAAAAAAAATTTGGACTTCCCATAGTAAATCAATAAGCTGATCGAAGATTTTGTATGGGAGGTCCAAATTTCTTTTTCATATTTCGACCCATGTTCCATAGGGAAAGTTGTTCAGTTTCATGAGTACCTTGACCCCTTGAAGGCTTTGCACCCAGCTTCCAAACATCCTATAGTCTTGGTTTTCAAAAAAACGCTGATATTAGGGACCATTATGAATGAAATATAGTGGATGAAATTTTCATTTTCTCGGATGGAATCATTTGCGATGGTCCCTAGTGCCGCTGTCAAAATTACTGGTTCGTATGGGCTTGCTTGTGTGAGATGCCCGAAAGTCCACGCGGCACGCCGTGCATAGTGAGTGTCACGACGCAGTCACATTAACGGCGTACTACACCGCGTAACGCGCCGGAAGTTTAATTTCACCTTGATTGATAAAACTGTTTGTCTACTTCTATAAAACTGTCAAGTTGCTCATTAATTAAATAGCGCCATAACTTTCTTACACAGTATTTGAAAAAGGATTAAAAAGAATACTCCAAATTCAATAATAATTTCTATAATTATTGTAATATAAAAAAGTGTTGGTAGTTATTCAACCCTTGGAATAGACAATAGATATTTCCTCTTAAACATAACAAATATGAGGAGTCATGGTGCCTGTCGCGATTGTAAAAAAATATCCCTTTTTTTAAACGCAACTCGGTCGAGTCGCCGACGACAAACACCAAAACGCACATACTTCTATACTTTACCATTTATTACAATATAATGCGATCTAAGAAAAATAATATTTTCGTCTAACGCCCTCAGGCGTCTGGTAAACAATGGCCCCGATTTTAACGGGACACTTTCTTGGCAAGTTTATAGCTATTTGTGTCACTTTCTGAAATAGGAAAAAGGAAAGAGACCTGAAATCTGCAGCTGTGATTTATGGTCTTCATTGATGAACTTCAGGAAACAAATGACAATTGGCAGCTGCTGGTTTTCTGTCACTTTTCTTTTGCTTATTTTTGAAAATATCAGAAATCACTAAGTATTAGCCAAGAAAATATCCCGCTAGAATAGGGATCAATTTTATACTATAATTTGTTTGTCCCTTAGATTAAACACGCGCTACTCGTTATAAAATAAACCGAACTTTCGGCAGTTGATAGCGAAGGCCCGACGTCCACTAACAAACCCAATACGATTTTTTTTCACCACGGATAAAAGACTTATCGAATCGAATCTTAGCGAATCGCTTTTAATATTGGTGAGGTCTAGCGTTGCAAAGTTCATTTCAATTTCGAACACTTTCGAAGCCCTATTCTGATAATACGCCCTTGAAACTTCTTACTTAAATCACTTACAAAACCCACTTACTCGGTACAAACGAATACGACAATCCTTTACATACTAATATTGAGAATAGAACGTTCACTGCGAAACATAATTTAGAATAGAATTATCATTTAATGTTAGCTCCTTATTATCGTTAGTTTAATTTTACGCAATTTTCGTTT